GCTTTTGCTTTACAAAAGCACCCATCAAAACTTTATATAACAGAGATAATTTATGCTTATTAAAATTTAAATTAAAATGTAAAAATAAAAGATTTAAATTTATGTGTTTAAAATTTATATAAATTCGAACTCACTTAAAATAAATTATTTGTTTTACATAATTTTGTTAAAAAATTAAGATATCTCTTTCTATAAACAATATATATTTTATAATCAATTTATATATTTCTTAAAAAAATATCTTTTGCTAGTATAATATAATATATATAATATATATATTTCCGCAATTTTAACATATTTTGCCATTTAACAGAACGATAGAAGAATGGAAAAATCTGGGCCTCATTAATGGTATTCGTTATCCATTACCAGCCACGGTATTTGTCGAAAGGATTATAGAAAAAAAATGGATATTTGATCGCTATAATACTAAACTCAATAATTTGTTCGGTTGGTTTCATGCCGCCGTTACGGATTATAATAACGAACAAAAATTGTGGACTGTCCTCACTCTAGACGGTTTCAAGCGAAAATTCCTTCTGCCTAGAATATATATTCAATTTTTTGGAGAGGATCCTAGAAAATTTGCCAAGAGAGTGGCTGCTGCTATTAAACAAAGACAAATTGCAGAGACTAGTATCAGGTTAATTTATTAGATTAAAATATTTTTTATTAGATTAAAGTATTTTAATATTTTTGTATTATGTCTTACTTATAATAATAATTTAAAAAGACACAAATATGACGTACGTGTATAACTAAAGAGAAATTTCAATAAAACTGATGTCAGTTTCTCATATATTTTAACATTTCATGAAAGTATTGGTTTAATATGGTAACGCTACATATTGTTATATAACTTTTAAAATATCTATTTCACGTAACGAAAGTGGAATATGAATTTACCAACACATTCAAAGTTTACATTTTCTTAAAAGCGATCTGAGAAAAAAATTTAGAACATCATGCACAAAACAAATAATAAATTCCGGATTTTTTTATATTCTTTAATGATTTTAACGAAAAGGATTTGAGTGATTTAAATGTTTTTTGCAATAATTATATGTAGATATCACTTTTATTTGGACTGCATGTTAGTAGAAGGTATGCCAACACTGGATGAAAAACAACAGGAAATTCTGTTAACCACGCGAAAAAGTTTCATGAAATCTGAATCTAAACATCTTTCCAATGTAGGTACATTTCCTATTTATTTTCTTCAGTTATTGATTTTTTAATATTTAGTTGATGGATGAAGTTGTTTTGGAATATCGTCGCGTCATGTGCGATCTTATGTGGAGATCCCTTATATGGGAACAGCCGGAAATGTTTAATTTCATTTCGTGGAATGAAATTAATGACATTCATGAACTTAAAATACCAGAAATGGGAAAGTTTTGCACTGAAATGGAAGACTTTACGGTATTTACAAAGAATTACATATAATACTTGCGTTTGATCCTTTATGAGAAAATACTACTGGATTCGCAATATAACGGTTGAAAATAATTGAAAAGCCATCATCGAATATTGTATATTTGTTTCAATAGTTTTTTTACTAATCCGTTAATATTTTTTTCACAAGAGACATACATTTTACTCAAAAAATATGATTACAATTTATTGCAGAAAACAAAAAATTTTTTTTGCTGGACAGTTTTGTACGTTTTGCCGGAAATATACGAAGCTATGAGTTGTGTAAATGTCGAATGCAGTAACATATTGAATATGAATCTCTTTGTCTCGAATTATGGAAAGTCTATGTACCTGTTAGAGTTCGAGTCGCAGCAGCAGCAAGAAGCTGGTATAGTGATAAAGTATCTGAAAGAAATGTGGTTGGAAAGGATTACACAGTCGGTTAGATTACGTTTAAGAGATATTTCAGGAAAAAAATGGTTCGATCTTGAGCAAAAGAATCATGATGAATACAATATGATAAACATGAACCGATTTATGTCTCTTATTACATATCGAATGCAGGTATATCTTAAAGTATTTGATTGCACATGTTTTAATTTAATACGTTTTATTTTTAATATGTATAATAAAATATGTGCTTGAATTGCATGTTTATTTAAAATTAATATAGGAATATTAATATAAAAGTATCAAGTAGAAATATTAACGTCTAATTACATCATACGTTATAATCAATTAATATAGGAATATTAATATAAAAGTAGAAATATTAACGTCTAATTATATCATACGTTATAATCAATTAAATAAAAATATAAATTTTTTAAAACAGATTTTCAGAAATTGTTTATCTGAAAAGGTAAAGAAAAAAATATTTATTATAAAAATTTATTAGAAAATAAAAAAGCCAATTCAAGCTCGTATTAAAAATTAAAAATTAAAAATTATAAAATTATAAATTATAAACAGGATTACAATTAAATAAACATAAATTTAAATAAATATTGATATACAATACTATTTGTTTAATTGACAAATTATATTGAATATGATTTATCTGCAATTTATTGAATATAATCTCTTATAATCCATAAAGATTCATTTTCTACAATTGACATTAATCATATTATTTTATCTGTTGCTGCAGGATGCGCTTCGGGATCTTGTGAAGAAATCGATGGCCTTATACTTAGAAATATTGGAAACTCCAGCTCTTTGTACATTAAATGTGGATGAAAATTTTGTGTGGGGTGATGATCTGATAAACACACACTTTAAATCTCCAGTGAATCCTATCTTTATTATTGATATTGCTATGAATGACAAAACTGCTTATTATTTAACGGATCTTGAATTATTTGTGGTATGGATAAACATATTTTCTTACATTTATTTATAAACTATCTAATTAAATCACTTATTTATAGATTTTTTATTTAATCAAAGATTCAATAAAAAATTATTTTTATCAAAGAATGTTCAAAATGTAATGTACACACATTCAAATTATATTTATTGTTAATTTTATATTAATCCATTAGGTTAATTGATTTTACTATAAATTATGTGTCTAATTATAAGCATTAAAATATTTAATAAATTAATTTATTTCAGGAAATTATTATAGCTATATTAGACAATTCTTTGAAGCAGTGTCAACAAATTGGAAAAATTCATCCTTTCTTATTACCTTTTCTGAAATTTCCCAAAGATCTGTATCTCAGCTCGGTCGACTTATTAGAGGAACAGGTTTGTGAAGTTCGAGAACGCTTGAGAACTGCTTATCAGAAGTCTATAATATCCCTAAAGGCATATGTGAAGGAATACCAGCAATATTTAGAATTTTATAAACTGGATGTCGAAAAATATGTGGAGTGAGCTCAGATCGCTTCAGGCGATATCAGATAACTATACTTAATTGGATTTCTGAATTAGAAGGCAACGCGACTAATTAACAAAGTCGAAAAATATCAATTATCTTTTTAATCATCACTTTTTTTAGGAATTTCAAAAAAGCAGATCACACTATTGTGGAGATCGGAGATGAAGTATTGTTCCACTTTAAGATGAAATCGATCCTCGAGCTCACACTTCCAAAAGATATTGCTATAGGACCTTTCTATGTGAATGTCCGTCCTCTCAGGGACTTTCTTATACAAAAACGACAAAACTGTTACACACAGTTACTTATTATGTTTACTGACAGCTTGAGAACAAAGATCAATGTCGTTCTGTTTGATTACGAGCAAATTAAAACGAGGCTAAGGACAACATCACGCAATATTGAACATTTGTTCGAAGAACAGGATTGGATAGAAACTGTACCACTGAAAGTGAAAAAACTAGACGAAATTGTACAAAAATTGAAATTTCAATACAACATTCTTGATCACTTCTGGTGGAATCTATCCGACGGAGACTTTGAAGCTAAATGGCAAGCTATCGGTTTTCCGCAACAAGTGCAGCTATATGTAAGATTTTCTTTGTATAAAGACATATCAATATACAAGGTGTCTTAATAACTATTATTAAATATCTTTATATCTATCAAGTTTATAGAGGAAAATCTGTACAATCAAAATTGTATAATATAAAGAAGGTTATTATATAATAAAAATATATAATAAA